ACTATTTGGTGCAATGTTTGTATTTTTTTATTGCAAAATTACTTACAAATCAATATTTTATTGGTTTTCATGTCATAGTTTATATATGTTAATGTGTGTTTTTTGCTAAAAATGTTGAGGCTGATGCGTTATGTCTTGATGACATGAACACAAGCAAAATTAAAGCTTATCACTATTTTTTCTACTAATTTAGGTTCAGAATACTTAACATAACAAAGTACCATTATAGAAATATTTACCATTTTTAAGTGATAGCGACAGAATAGACCTTTGTTTGTCAAGTTTGTCCTTTACTCTTTTGTTTATTTCTGTGTCAACACTTCAAAGGTTAGGTTATAACATGTGATGGTTCTGGTTATTTTTTACAGGTCGTTTGACGTGTGTGTGCGTATGAAATGTATACATGCTTCATTGATCTTATTAATTGTTTGTTTCTGATTACAGTTAACATAGTTACCAGTAATTAAGTATATTGATTGGTTGTTGAATGCTCGGCTCTTGAGACTTGAATCGAGAAAAAACGACTATATAGTGACTGGAATATTGAGATGAATTGTTGAAGGCTTGATTGGCAAGAAGACTAAAGAGACAATATCAAAACACAAGATTAAATTAAATTATCTAGCGTGAGAATCAAATTTAGTTGTTGTTAGCGATCTCAATTATACCTTGACCCATTTAGTTGATTTCTTAAACTTTTAAGTGTTTATTTAATCAGTGTATTTATTAAGATTACCAAGTTTGTGGTTGAATTTGGATGTAAATGTTATAGGTCTTAGTAGTAATGAGATGATTTATAGATTTCCTACTATTTTAAGAATTGTTAAATTTGGGCGATTTTGCCTTTGATGATGGTTTGAAGCTTGGATAAATCTGATGCTGGTTTATTATTGTTCGAATTAGTTGAGATATGTTATTTTTCTCTGGGTTGAATGATTATCGTCAAGTAGGTAGTATAACATGTTCTGAAGTTAGTAAATGAAAGTTTTAATACTTTTGGACGGTGCATAAGTTTCTTTGATTTTATTAAATATGGTTTATTTATTAAACATGTTTATTTGATTTATTTAGTGTTCATTTGGATTTAGCAATGTACATTTGTTTTTATCTCAAAACAACACCATGAAGGAAAAAAATCACTATGGATGAGCATTGGACAGAACCGATACTGGTAAATGATACGCATTACTTAAATGCCATTTAATAAAAAATCGATATTTTTGGGTTAAAAGTTTATTAAGGGTATAAAAATTTCATAACGGTGTTTTGATATTGTTCGATCTAATAGTGATATGCATTACATAAATGCCAACACATGTTGCTACCTTTCTAGGAGTATATATGCTTTAAAATAAACCCTATCTCAATAGTGGTTTTAATAATCGATTCTATCTTCTATCAATTAACATTTAGCAATCTACCTCAATAGTTGTTAATAGTTGTTACCCGAACTTGCAAAATAACCTAAAAATACAAGTCATACATACAAAATAACATAAACTGTAATGAGTAGCACCTCAATAGTTATTGCGCAAACTTCCAAAATAACCTAAAAATACAAGTCATACATACAAAATAACATAAATTGTAACGAGTAGCATCTCAATAGTTGTTGTGCAAACTTGCAAAATAACCTAAAAACACAAGTCGTACAAACAAAATAACATAAAGTGTAATGATTAGCATCTCAATAGTTGTTGCACGAACTTGCAAAATAATCTAAAAATACAAGTCATACATATAAAAATACAAGTCATCACGACTAGAAGAAATGCAAGTATTTTTTCCTAAAATTAAAGTTCTTTTTCTATTTCCTGTAATTTTCTTGATATCGAAACTTCATTCCTATTTCCATTTTTCCCCTTCATTATCTCCATTAAAGAAACCTAATCTGTAACAAGTATTTTTCTCACTTGCTACTCAGAATCTATAAATGTATACGTGTTTCTATGTGTTTGTGTATGCTTGTATGTGTTTGATTTGCATACCAGTAAGTAATTATTATTTTTCCATGGAAATAGTCTAGGAATTAAATATGCATTTGAAGATTGGACATTATGCATTCTTTCGTTTGCCTCAAACAAACCTTCAGATCCATGAAAACACCCCTGCATACTTGATTTTTTGTGAAGCAAATCTTCTCCAACTTATTTAAGCTTGAACTTGGCAAGAAGTGTTGCATCAGTTCAAAAGTATTTTTGTTTATTTCAAATCATTCATGCATATAGAAAATGTAAGTGAAGAGAATGTTGAAGTTGCTTAAGCCGAAAGAATCTTGTATCAGTTCAAATATATTTCTATTTTTAAAACACCCACTACTGCCTCTTGTATGCAATTTGTTGTATGTTTGTGTTTTGTGTATGTTTTATTTCTAAGATTCAAACCTGGAGTTTTTAGTTTAAGTGATCAAATATGGAGTTTTAGTTTATAATGGATATGAGATTCAAACCAACTATTTGGTGCAATGTTTGTATTTTTTTTATTGCAAAATTACTTACAAATCAATCTTTTATTGGTTTTCATGTCATAGTTTATATATGTTAATGTGTGTTTTTGCTAAAAATATTGAGGCTGATGCGTTATGTCTTGATGACATGAACACAAGCAAAATTAAAGCTTATCACTATTTTTGCTACTAATTTAGGTTTAGAAAACTTAACATAACAAAGTACCATTATAGAAATATTTACCTTTTTTAAGTGATAGCGACAGAATAGACCTTTGTTTGTCAAGTTTGTCCTTTACTCTTTTGTTTGTTTCTGTGTCAACACTTCAAAGGTTAGGTTATAACATGTGATGGTTTTGGTTATTTTTTACAGGTCGTTTGACGTGTGTGTGCGTATGAAATGTATACATGCTTCATTGATCTTATTAATTGTTTGTTTCTCATTACAGTTAACATAGTTACCAGTAATTAAGTATATTGATTGGTTGTTGAATGCTCGGCTCTTGAGACTTGAATCAAGAAAAAACGACTATATAGTGACTGGAATATTGAGATGAATTGTTGAAGGCTTGATTGGCAAGAAGACTAAAGAGATAATATCAAAACACAAGATTAAATTTAATTATCTAGCGTGAGAATCAGATTTAGTTGTTGTTAGCGATCTCAATTATACCTTGACCCATTTAGTTGATTTCTTAAACTTTTAATTGTTTATTTAATCACTGTATTTATTAAGATTACCAAGTTTGTGGTTGAATTTGGATGTAAATGTTATAGGTCTTAGTAGTAATGAGATGATTTATAGATTTCCTACTATTTTAAGAATTGTTAAATTTGGGCGATTTTGCCTTTGATGATGGTTTGAAGCTTGGATAAATCTGATGCTGGTTTATTATTGTTCGAATTAGTTGAGATATGTTATTTTTCTCTGGGTTGAATGATTATCGTCAAGTAGGTAGTATAACATGTTCTGAAGTTAGTAAATGAAAGTTTTAATACTTTTGGACGGTGCATAAGTTTCTTTGATTTTATTAAATATGGTTTATTTATTAAACATGTTTATTTGATTTATTTAGTGTTCATTTGGATTTAGAAATGTACATTTGTTTTTATCTCAAAACAACACCATGAAGAAAAAAATCACTATGGATGAGCATTGGACAAAACCGATACTGGTAAATGATACGCATTACTTAAATGCCATTTAATGAAAAATCGACATTTTTGGGTTAAATGTTTATTAAGGGTATAAAAATTTCATAACGGTGTTTTGATATTGTTCGATCTAATAGTGATATGCATTACATAAATGCCAACACATGTTGCTACGTTTCTAGGAGTATATATGCTTTAAAATAAACCCTATCTCAATAGTGGTTTTAATAATCGATTCTATCTTCTATCAATTAACATTTAGCAATCTACCTCAATAGTTGTTAATAGTTGTTACCCGAACTTGCAAAATAACCTAAAAATACAAGTCATACATACAAAATAACATAAACTGTAATCAGTAGCACCTCAATAGTTATTGCACAAACTTGCAAAATAACCTAAAAATACAAGTCATACATACAAAATAACATAAATTGTAACGAGTAACATCTCAATAGTTGTTGTGCAAACTTGCAAAATAACCTAAAAACACAAGTCGTACAAACAAAATAACGTAAAGTGTATTGATTAGCATCTCAATAGTTGTTGCACGAACTTGCAACATAATCTAAAAATACAAGTCATACATATAAAAATACAAGTCATCACGACTAGAAGAAATGCAAGTAATTTTTCCTAAAATTAAACTTCTTTTTCTATTTCCTGTAATTTTCTTGATATCGAAACTTCATTCCTATTTCCATTTTTCCCCTTCGTTATCTCCATTAAAGAAACCTAATCTATAACAAGTATTTTTCTCACTTGCTACTCAGAATCTATAAATGTATACGTGTGTGTATATGTTTGTGTATGCTTGTATGTGTTTGATTTGCATACCACTAAGTAATCATTATTTTTCCGTGGAAATAGTCTAGGAATTAAATATGCATTTGAAGATTGGACATTATGCATTCTGTAACATCCCATTTAGAATATAATAATTAAATGATAACCTGGAACCCGAGAAGCAAATCGTATTATTATTATATGTCATTATGGCTTAAAATCAAGTAACAATTAGCTGGGAGTTTATTTCGGGAAGCCAAGTGGCAGGATTTGAATATCCGGGGATCAAAGTGTAATTCTGGGATTTATTTTGTAAAGATTTATAGAAGTCAAGGGTTAAAATGTAAGTTCCGGGTTAGTTTTGCAAATATTTATTAAAGCAGGGACTAAGGGATAAATATTGGGACTTCACTTGAAGAGATTTTGGAGGCATAGGGGCTATTTGGTAAATTTCGTACTTAATGTGTAATGGATTTTAAGGCTGAGGGTTGAAATCGTAAATTATGGATTAGCTTGAAAGAAAAGATGAGAATGGGGGACCATTTGTGTCATTTTGGGTCAAAGATTAATGGAGCCGGGCATATAGCCTTTCATTCCCGTCCATACCCTAACCCTAAGCCTCTAAGCACCAGCCGCCATCTCCATCCTCTTTCTTGGCCGCCACCTCGTCGCCTGTCGTCTTGCCATCGGATCATCACCATCATTCGTCGCCGATTGTTGTGCATAGCCGGGAGAGACCACCGAGGGCTGTCGAGGGTAGCTGCACCGGGTAGGGATCGGAGAACCATTGCTGTGACCGCAGCCTGCTGCCTCCCCATTGTGAAGCCGTCACACCTTTGCTGCCGGTGACGCCATGCGCGAACGAAGAAAGCCGACTGGAGCGACGTCTGGGCAGTGTGATAGCGTCCTCGGACGCCTCTTCTCTTTCTTCTCCTGCCCCGCCTTTCAGCCATGCCGCCATCGCCGCTAGGGCCGTCGAGCGCCGCCGCTAACCGATCTTTTGCTGCTGGTACTGTTTCATCGCTGCCATCAGATGTCGTCATTTCCGTGGTGGCAGAAGAAGAAGAAGACCGACGCTGTGGTCGTGAGAGAAGCCGGTCGTGTTTGCGGCTGTGGGGTTCGTGGTTTCTGCCGCCGACATTGCCGTTAAGCCGCTGCTGCTGGACTTCTTGTGTCAGCATCGCCGCCAGGTGGGTGGCTAGGTTTATCTCGCAACAGAAGGATGTGTGTATGTGGTTTTGGCTGTGGTTTTTGGTCGGATTTCACAAGAAGGCCACCACCACCACCGTGAGGTGGTGGCTGCCGCCATGCACCACCGCCGGCCACCATAGGGTGGCTGTGTGTATGTTTTTCTATTTAGTGTGTATGTGAATATTTTGGGTATAAGCATTGTAACATGTAACTAGAAAGTGAAAAAATGGAAAAGAAAACCCTAACCACCACCGTGAGGTGGTGGCTGCCGCATCCTGCCGCCATCGGCTGCCGTGTCGGGTGGCGGTGTGCTTGTCTCGTCGAGTTGATTCGTTTGGGGTGCTTGAAACCCTAATGGGCCTTGTAAGCCCAAATGGGCCCAATGAAGCCTAATGGGCATATGTAAAACCCTAATGGACTTAATGATATTTTAGTGGGCCTAATAGGCCCAATAAAGCCCTAAATGACCTAAAAGCCCAACAAGTTAATAAATGGGCTAGAAATTGGGTTGGAAACCCTAATTAGGGTTTGGAAAACCTTAGTGCCAATAAAACCCTAATTTTGAGAATTAATCGGAAAACACACATGAGAATTATTTAATAGTTTGAAATATTAAATAATAATCATTGGCAAAGATTAATCTAAGCAATATTGGACTTAATGGATTAAGTCCTTATTGGATTAAGTTCTTAATGGGTTAAGTGAGAAACACTTAACTCTAGTTGTCATTTTATGTGAAACCTTAATTTTATTTGGGCCTTCCTATAGGGTTTTGGTGGTCATTCAAGAACAAGTTAATGGACCAAAGTAATTAGATGGGTTTTAGGATAAGGCCCATGTGAGGACTTGGGCCCAATTTGGAAGATTGGGCCATATGTTGGGCCTTGGCCCATTACTTGACTTTTGGGCTTTTCGAGTGTGAGTTGGACTTTGAGCTTGTAACCAAATTATTAATTGGGTATTGTTTGATGTTGACAGTTCCGGAATCTGTCAATCAGCGGCTGGAGCGTATCTACGGGACTTCAGCAGTGTCAGGTGAGTTCTCCTCACTATATCAACAGGGTCTACGGCACCAAAGCCGGCCCTTTATGATTGTATCCTGGTTATAGGATGTTGCTATACTATGTGATCTGTTAGATCCGTATGATTATCTGTACATATGTTAGTGACCTAGTTAGGTCAGTATCCTGGGCATAGGATGATGCTATGTTATTTGATCTGTTAGATCGGTTGACTGTTATATATGCTAGCGTATGATATGTATGTGCACATGTTTGTTTGATTGGGGGTTTGGGTTGAGGCGGTCCTGCTTTGTGCTGAAGGCCAACATACCTAGGGCGGTCCGGATAGACTACAGACCCAGGAGGGTATGATAGTCAGACCGAAGGCCCGACGAGCGGTCCGGATAGGCTGAAGGCCCCACGAGGCGGTCCAGACGTGCCGAAGGCTCGGAGAGCGGTCCAGATAGACTGAAGGCCTGCGAGGCGGTCCAGTCAGGCTGAAGGCTCTTTATGCATGTTGTTCTGTATTTTTTATTGATATGATATTTGTTCTGGTTAGTATGGGTTGGTATTTTAGGAGTAACTCACTAAGCCTTTGAGCTTACATTTATCGATTATTGTTTCAGGTATTCGGATGATCGCAGGAAGGCGAAGGCGTGATCGTGCACATCTTTACATTTTCATGATTGATTATGGGGATACTCTGATGTTTAAATTATTTTGAAAGTAAACTGTAATGACTTAATGGTTTTAAATGTTTTAAAAAGTTTAAATTGGCTTGAATTTTTGGGGTGTTACACATTCTTTCGTTTGCCTCAAACAAACCTTCAGATCCATGAAAACACCCCTGCATACTTGATTTTTTGTGAAGTAAATCTTCTCCAACTTATTTAAGCTTGAACTTGGCAAGAAGTGTTGTATCAGTTCAAAAGTATTTTTGTTTATTTCAAATCATTTATGCATATAGAAAATGTAAGTGAAGAGAATGTTGAAGTTGCTTAAGCCGAAAGAATCTTATATCAGTTGAAATCTATTTTTGTTTTTAAAACACCCACTACTGCCTCTTGTTGTTGTATGTTTGTGTTTTGTGTATGTTTTATTTCTAAGATTCAAACCTGGAGTTTTTAGTTTAAGTGATCAAATATGGAGTTTTAGTTTATAATGGATCTGAGATTCAAACCAACTATTTGGTGCAATGTTTGTATTTTTTATTGCAAAATTACTTACAAATCAATATTTTATTGGTTTTCATGTCATAGTTTATATATGTTAATGTGTGTTTTTTGCTAAAAATGTTGAGGCTGATGCGTTATGTCTTGATGACATGAACACAAACAAAATTAAAGCTTATCACTATTTTTTCTACTAATTTAGGTTTAGAAAATTTAACATAACAAAGTACCATTATAGAAATATTTACCTTTTTTAAGTGATAGCGACAGAATAGACATTTGTTTGTCAAGTTTGTCCTTTACTCTTTTGTTTATTTCTGTGTCAACACTTCAAATGTTAGGTTATAACATGTGATGGTTCTGGTTATTTTTTACAGGTCGTTTGACGTGTGTGTACGTATGAAATGTATATATGCTTCATTGACCTTTTTAATTGTTTGTTTCTCATTACAGTTAACATAGTTAACAGTAATTAAGTATATTGATTGGTTGTTGAATGCTCGGCTCTTGAGACTTGAATCAAGAAAAAAACGACTATATAGTGACTGGAATATTGAGATGAATTGTTGAAGGCTTGATTGGCAAGAAGACTAAAGAGACAATATCAAAACACAATATTAAATTTAATTATCTAGCGTGAGAATCAGATTTAGTTGTTGTTAGCGGTCTCAATTATACCTTGACCCATTTAGTTGATTTCTTAAACTTTTAATTGTTTATTTAATCACTGTATTTATTAAGATTACCAAGTTTGTGGTTGAATTTGGATATAAATGTTATAGGTCTTAGTAGTAATGAGATGATTTATAGATTTCCTACTATTTTAAGAATTGGTAAATTTTGGCGATTTTGCCCTTGATGATGGTTTGAAGTTTGGATAAATCTGATGCTGGTTTATTATTGTTCGAATTAGTTGAGATATGTTATTTTTCGCTGGGTTGAATGATTATCGACAAGTAGGGGTGTCAAAAAAACCCGAACCCTATTAACCCGACCCGACTAGAACCCAAATAAGGTACTTAGGGTCGGGTTTCATAGGGTCAAAATTCTAAATCGGGTTATTCGGGTTAAATCGACATACCCGAATTGCAATTAGGGTCGGGTAGGGTTGATTTTTTTAAAAAAATCGGGTTGCGGGTTAACCCGATTAACCCGAATAAAGGCATACTACAAGTCTACAACTCTTTTACGTATTGCATCCTCCACTTGTGAAGTACAAACACATGTTCTTTGAAATAAGAAAATTATTTACTTCTATGTATATGCATATAAATTGGCTTATTTTACATTTACTAATCTTTCGTTATGTTTTTCTAGAAGGATACATATTGGGTCTTTCATATTAAGGTGTATTAAAATGTAAATTACACTGGTTTATTAAAATAAACATATATAAGGAATTAACTGATAGTTATTATAAATTTACGTGTACTAATTTTTTGTGTTCTTATTAACTAGTCATGATAATTTTGTATATAATGACATTTTCTTTTGTTGTACGTTGCCTTCATGATGGACATGTGTTTACTAGTTCCAAATTTTTATCATCTTTTTAATATATATATCATCAATTTGCAGCAAGTTTTGCATACTGAGATGACACTGGAAGAGAATACTTCATGTTAGATTTTGCCAAGATCACCCCAACTAGTATACCACATTTAATCCAACTAACCCGATTAACCCGACCCTATTAACCCGAAACCCGATCAACCCGAACCCGACTAACTCGTATCTTAATAGGGTCGGGTTTAGGGTCAAAAATTAATTTTCTAAAACCCGACTAAGCCGACCCAATTAACTCAAAACCCGATCGGGTTGACCTGATTAACACCCTTATCGACAAGTAGGTAGTATAACATGTACTCAAGCGATTAAAGGAAAGTTTTAATACTTTTGGACGGTGCATAAGTTTCTTTGATTTTATTAAATATGATTTATTTATTAAACATGTTTATTTGATTTATTTAGTGTTCATTCGGATTTAGCAATGTACATTTGTTTTTATCTCAAAACATCACCATGAAGAAAAAAAATCACTATGGATGAGCATTGGACAGAACCGATACCGGTAAATGATACGCATTACTTAAATGTCATTTAATAAAAAATCGATATTTTTGGGTTAAATGTTTATTAAGGGTATAAAAATTTCATAACGGCGTTTTGATATTGTTCAATCTAATAGTGATATGCATTACATAAATGCCAACACATGTTGCTACGTTTCTAGGAGTATATATGCTTTAAAATAAACCCTATCTCAATAGTGGTTTTAATAATCGATTCTATCTTCTATCAATTAACATTTAGCAATCTACCTCAATAGTTGTTAATAGTTGTTACCCGAACTTGCAAAATAACCTAAAAATACAAGTCATACATACAAAATAACATAAACTGTAATGAGTAGCACCTCAATAGTTATTGCTCAAACTTGCAAAATAACCTAAAAATACAAGTCATACATACAAAATAACATAAATTGTAACGAGTAGCATCTCAATAGTTGTTGTGCAAACTTGCAAAATAACCTAAAAACACAACTCGCACAAACAAAATAACATAAAGTGTAATGATTAGCATCTCAATAGTTGTTGCACGAACTTGCAAAATAATCTAAAAATACAAGTCATACATATAAAAATACAAGTCATCACGACTAGAAGAAATGCAAGTAATTTTTCCTAAAATTAAACTTCTTTTTCTATTTCCTGTAATTTTCTTGATATCGAAACTTCATTCCTATTTCCATTTTTCCCCTCCATTATCTCCATTAAAGAAACCTAATCTGTAACAAGTATTTTTCTCACATGCTACTCAGAATCTATAAATGTATACGTGTTTCTATGTGTTTGTGTATGCTTGTATGTGTTTGATTTGCATACCAGTAAGTAATCATTATTTTTCCGTGGAAATAGTCTAGGAATTAAATATGCATTTGAAGATTGGACATTATGCATTCTTTCGTTTGCCTCAAACAAACCTTCAGATCCATGAAAACACCCCTGCATACTTGATTTTTTGTGAAACAAATCTTCTCCAACTTATTTAAGCTTGAACTTGGCAAGAAGTGTTGCATCAGTTCAAAAGTATTTTTGTTTATTTCAAATCATTTATGCATATAGAAAATGTAAGTGAAGAGAATGTTGAAGTTGCTTAAGCCAAAAGAATCTTGTATCAGTTCAAATATATTTCTGTTTTTATAACACCCACTACTACGTCTTGTACGTAATTTGTTGTATGTTTGTGTTTTGTGTATGTTTTATTTCTAAGATTCAAACCTGGAGTTTTTAGTTTAAGTGATCAAATATGGAGTTTTAGTTTATAATGGATCTGAGATTCAAACCAACTATTTGGTGCAATGTTTGTATTTTTTATTGCAAGATTACTTACAAATCAATTTTTTATTGGTTTTCATGTCATAGTTTATATATGTTAATGTGTGTTTTTTGCTAAAAATGTTGAGGCTGATGCGTTATGTCTTGATGACATGAACACAAGCAAAATTAAAGCTTATCACTATTTTTTCTACTAATTTAGGTTCAGAAAACTTAACATAACAAAGTACCATTATAGAAATATTTACTTTTTTAAGTGATAGCGACAGAATAGACCTTTGTTTGTCAAGTTTGTCCTTTACTCTTTTGTTTGTTTCTGTGTCAACACTTCAAAGGTTAGGTTATAACATGTGATGGTTCTGGTTATAGGTCGTTTGACGTGTGTGTGCGTATGAAATGTATACATGCTTCATTGATCTTTTTAATTGTTTGTTTCTCATTACAGTTAACAATAATTAAGTATATTGATTGGTTGTTGAATGCTCGGCTCTTGAGACTTGAATCAAGAAAAAACGACTATATAGTGACTGGAATATTGAGATGAATTGTTGAATGCGTGATTGGCAAGAAGACTAACGAGACAATATCAAAACACAAGATTAAATTTAATTATCTAGCGTGAGAATCAAATTTAGTTGTTGTTAGCGGTCTCAATTATACCTTGACCCATTTAGTTGATTTCTTAAACTTTTAATTGTTTATTTAATCACTGTATTTATTGAGATTACCAAGTTTGTGGTTGAATTTGGATGTAAATGTTATAGGTCTTAGTAGTAATGAGATGATTTATAGATTTCCTGCTATTTTAAGAATTGGTAAATTTGGGCGATTTTTCCTTTGATGATGGTTTGAAGATTGGATAAATCTGATGTTGGTTTATTATTGTTCGAATTAGTTGAGATATGTTATTTTTCTCTGGGTTGAATGATTATCGTCAAGTAGGTAGTATAACATGTACTCAAGCGATTAAAGGAAAGTTTTAATACTTTTGGACGGTGCATAAGTTTCTTTGATTTTATTAAATATGGTTTATTTATTAAACATGTTTATTTGATTTATTTAGTGTTCATTTGGATTTAGCAATGTACACTTGTTTTTATCTCAAAACAACATCCTGAAGAAAAAAAATCACTATGGATGAGCATCGGACAGAACCGATACTGGTAAATGATACACATTACTTAAATGTCATTTAATAAAAAATCGATATTTTTGGGTTAAATGTTTATTAAGGGTATAAAAATTTCATAACGATGTTTTGATATTGTTCGATCTAATAGT